CAGATGCTAGTCAATTCTGGCACTCAAGAGAGAGAAATTTAAGCGCAATCATAATATTAAAACGTCATAGATTTTATAAATTTCAAAAGAAAGTGTAGAATCATGAAGCTTACTCCATAAAAAAAACCATGAACTAGATAAATTCTTGATTTTAATTTGAAATAGAGATATTGAAATTAAAAGCTAGGATTAATTCCTAGTCGGCACTCGAGAGAGAGGATAAAAATTCAATTGAGCTCTTGCTTATAAACTTTAAAAAAATGATTAGAAATAATTATATAATTGAGAATCATATTTGCTAGCTAGATAAAATTACAACCCTAGGCTTTTTCATCTTGATTATTCTACTAATCTGCAATTAATTGTTTAGTTTGTCACCTCGTTCATCTTATTAACTGATTTAAAACCACTGATTCCAAATTTCATTCATCTAAATAAAATAAAAGCCACACAATTATAGTACTTAGTATAAAATTAAATTACAATCCATGTGATTCGACATCCTAACTCCATTCATATGTTACAAAACTTGTCGTTGTACACTTGCGGAATAAATCACGTTGTATATAACACATGACGGTATTGCATTAACTCATACAATGCTCCATCTTTATGGTCTCCTTCTCTTATCTCTCTCTTCTTCTTCTTTTTTAATTAGTCAAGTTGCAACCTGTATCCTCACTAGTTGGTATGCAAGCTCATAATAATTACATCGGACTTATAGGTCCAAAATAAGTAAGAGCTCGCAATCCTATAAAACAACAAGAACAAAGCTAACTATTCAACCAAGGGTGGACATATACATTTTGAGTTAGTGGGTACAATTAAACTTAAGAAAAAAGTTGTAAGAAATTTTACATTTGAAAATTCACATTCAAAAAAAAAAAATCATACCCCATGTAATTTTACATCTGAAAAATTTACATGGAGTATGACTTTTTCGGATGTAAAATTTCGAAATTGATGCTTATTCCATTTAAAATTTCTTAATAAAATGATGTAAAATATATTAAGAAATTTGTATCGCAAAAATAATAATAATTGATTTTTTTCAAAGAAAAGACAAGTTAAACCCCCTCTTTTTAAAACACATGTTTGACGCATCTTTAACTATTTTCGATGTCTGTTTGGATCATTCGATATGTCTATTATATAGTTCTTAAAATGATTTCGAGGTAACATATGCAATTTGTGGATTTGGCTAGCGTATGATCTCGGAGAATTTTTAAAGTTAGAACGTTATCGAAATGTTTGAAATATTAGTTTGAAATGACCTACTTTAATAAGTCGTAATATTTGCTACCCTTGGTCATTTTGCACGGCATTATAGACGTAGAAAATTAGGCCTTGAGGATTTTGAAATGGTATTAAGAATGCAATGTTTCGACATTGTTTGGCATCCCATAATGACTTTAAAAATTGAGACAAAAAACATGGGGAAAAATGGCCCCAGAGTTGGAGGCTTATGTGACCTCCCACACCCAACTCTACGTCGGTCCCTGTATTCAATACATTCATATGATTGAGTCCATAATCATTCATTAAAGAAATATTCATCAAATAAATGTATTCCTATATAATATCTAATATTATATGTAAGCAAGTTTCAAGATTCTAGCAATTAAGGTGGTCTAAACTAATCTAGACAAATGAATCAGAACATTAAATAATTAATTAATTAATCAGCTGTAAGTCTAAAAGACTGTTTCCAAGGTCACTTTTTTTCCTTTGTTCATTTGGCATTGTTACATTTGTTAGAGTCGTTGTAAGTAATTATTGTATTGTGCATAATGGGTTTTCCTTGTAATGTAGGACATTGTTAAGGAAAGTGAGCTTCTTAGGGATGATTTCAAGAATATAGAGGAAATGACAATTCAGCAGCTGAGATCGAAATTGAGGTTAATGTTTTGTTCTCCTGGCTAAAATGTATTTAATTTACTTTTCCACTATTATATGGTTGTTAGATTGTTCAAATGGGGCAGAAACTTTGAATTTTCTGCAACATGAATTCACTTTCTTTTTTTTTTCTTTTTTTTCTTTTTTTTTAATCATGGAGGTAATCTTGAGATTTTTACCCAAATGTAGACAACTCGGGTCCAGCAATCTGATATATAGTGATAAGAAATATACTTACAGAATGGTATTGAGATTGTCTGAAAAAACTATTTGTAATGTGTACTAATAAATAATTTGACCACCAATACCTAAGATGATTTCCTGCTCATGAAATTCATATCGCAATTCATTTTCATAAGCCTTACTGTTATTAGAATTTAGAAAACAAATAACTGGACACGTATGCTTATCGTCATAGATAAGATGGCCTGAAGCTGTTGTGGTTCCTGCTAAGATGGCTCTAGGATCTATTTAGGTTTAATATTGATATTTAGTATCTCTGCACCAATTGATTGCTTTAGTCCCACATTGGTTTCTTTTGTCGTATAGGACTGATGTCATGTTTATCTACTTGTGTGTTACTATTCAGCAATTTGCAGCAGCATGCCTTGATCTTTTCCTATGGAAGGTTTCCTGTCTTTATAAAACACCAAAATTTGACGAAATTAAATTTGATAATATTTTCTATGTGCACCTTTTGATGGAGCTTTGTACTAGTGGACAGCTTCTCTATCGAATTGAGAAGCTGGAGAGATTTTCCAAGCATAAGGCACGGGTTATTTTTTAGACAATTAATGGAAGTGGTCATGTATTTTCATGATATGGTATTATCCCCAGAAACTTGAAACCAAAAAATATCCTGTCTTCAACCTCTCGTATCAAATTAACAGATATTGGTATTGCAATATACATAAAACCTGGGAAGCACGTTATTTTTCTTCTATCATTTCTTATTTTCAATTTTAGGATTCTGGCAGTTTTAGCAAGTTCATTTCCATTAGCCAATTAAAATTGCTAATTCTACTTTGTAATAGAGTTGTTAGTTCTACAGCTCTTGGAGAGAGTTCCATAGCAATCCCCTCATTTACCTAGCTAGCCGATGGACCCTCCGATAGTCCGGACAAGCACCTTTTTGGTTGGTTACTTTTTTATCTAGAATGACAGTTTGTCTTTACAGATGGATTCATAACTATTATTTTTGTATTTCATGAAGTAATGATGGTGCTCAGATGATATGTTATACATTTCAACTCCTAAAATTACACGTAGAAGAGAAGCTTAACAAAATTTAGCTTCTGCAATCAACTGTCGAGATAAGTGGATCAATTGTCAAGAATTTCAGAGCCCAACTGTTGAGAACGATAGTTCATCTCGACAGATGATTTCATTACTACCAGAATTGACATTTATATTTCACATTCATATTGATTTTCCAAGACATGAGGGTCAAGTTATGACAAACATGATATGCATTATACTTATAGCTTCAAATAGCACCACTATTCATATACTAAGTCATAAATTTAATATGTAAATGCAAAGACATTTTCAAGAATGAAAAATAGAATGATCAAACACTAAAACAACATTCAAATAACCGTGATTAATCATATAAAGACACACTTAACCGAGTTTATTTGTGCATGTTGACAAGAATATACCCAGTTCAATCTTGGCTCATTTCACAAACTAAAAAATTAAACACAAACTCAATTTGCCCAATAATGACCAATAACTATTATTTATATGAAAGAAAAGTAAAAAACATAATTATAAAAATAAATTCATAGATAACTTACATAAATCATATTATTAATATTTTCATAGAACTAGAAAAGTAGAGAACAAAAATTGAAAAAAAAAAATGAGACATATTGTACCAATCTAGGTCAAAAATTGTGAAGAATAAAAAAAAATACCCCTAAATTTAAAAAATTAGAAGAGAAGAGAGCAACAAATGCAAAAGGAAAGAAAAAAACCCCCTCAAGAGGTTAATGGTGATCTTCCTCGGCTTCGACATCAAGCCTGGACAAAATGGAGGATTTTAGCGTTGCTTGCGGCCTTGAGTGAGAGGAAATGAAACTAAGTCGTTTAGATTTAGGGAATGAGAGAGAGGAGAAAATTTTTACTTTTTTAGAGAATGAAAGGATTCTTTTGTGTGTGTGTGTGTGTGTGTAGTGAATTGAGAGCATTTGATGTGATATTTAAAAAAAAAAATTGTACTATTTTTTCATCTAGTCAAATCAATTTTTAATGAAAGATATGTAGGGTATTTGAATTATTTAGAGGGGCAAAAATGTTCAAAATTAACAATCTCCCAAAAATTTTTAAAAAGTGACATTTTTGTAAATGTAAAATCAAAAATTGACTATTTTAGTAATTTTCACTATTTTTAATGGCCATCTGAGGAAGTACTTTTATGCTGTTCTGACATCGCACAACGGGAATGGCATAATTAGTAACATAATTACAGGTGGAGGGAAAGCTTGGGGATCACCTGTATAATTAACCCCTGAAAATACCAAACCGTCTTATCTTAACTCCCAAATGCGCACTCTAACAGATCTGGCCATGTTCAGCTAAAGTGAGCTAAGATCTGCTTAAGGTAGCTATTCTCTACAAATATCATTCCGGGGAACTCGCCAGGACCATTCATCCAAGGCCTAAGGCCACACTTCATTTTCCATAGACGATACTCGTCACTCGTCACTCGAGAGACATTATTTTCTGTAGGGATTAGGGAAAGCAACTCCCTGCCATACAGAGAGAACAGATATGGGAAGCACAAGTACCTTAATCTACACACCGAAATTCAACAATAACACCCACTACTGCTTCAAATGCTTAAGCCCACTTCCAGTTCCAGTTCCCGTATTTTCTTTTCACGTCAATTGCAGGAAATCCAAGTTTTTGAGCTTGTCAAACAGAAAAAGGTTCAAGAAATTTAGCACCACTGTTTTCTCGGCCACGGAGAAGCAGCAAGAATTGAGTAGCGGCGGTTTAAATGGTGCTGGCCCAGCTGTTGAAGATAGGCCTGGTATGTGTAGTCTGATTGGATTTTTGTATTTACTTCTAATTAAATTTTAATGGTTTTTTTTTCTTTGGGTTTTTCTATGGATTCTCTATTTGAGAGTGTTCTTATTGGGTTTGATTAAATCAATTGGTTTCACTTGCTAATATTGAGCGAATTCTTGCAGTGCTTGCATTTCTCATTTATTGGTTAGAGCATATACTAAATAGACTTCCAACTTTTATTGTTCCTTGCTCAACGAATTCATGTTATCTTTTTAAGACATACGGTACTGATGGTATTGAGATTGAGAGTGGTCTTTTAGGATTTTCGTTTCAAAGGGAAGTAGTGTCAAAATCACAAAGGAATATGGTTACAATCGTACACAATGATGTTTAATTGAACCGAACTTCTTGAAATAAAGAAAAGAAGATTGTGACAGAATATCAGATAAATATTTCATCTAGTTTTAAGGGAGTAGAATACTGATTATTATTATTATTATTATTATTATTATTATTATTATTATTATTATTATTATTATGGGATTAAAATGGTCACTAGCCTTTTATATAGTTAGGAAGCAGCTATTCACCCGATGACCATGGCCTTTCCCACGTGTTGCAAATTTTGAATAGGAAGGTGGGAAAATTAGATGAAAGTTTATGATAAAGAGCACCTTCTTTCTCAAATATAAAAGAATTTTCTCTGTCTCCTATATTTGTTATCATGAAAGGTATTCTGCTGATGCATTATGTTACTTGTGATCTATTAGTAGTATTCCTTGGTTCTTAATGGCGAAAGAGAAGGATCTCTTTATTGTTATCATGGTCGGTAACAATAACATTAGAGACCACCACAGGTGTTGTGGTGTCGCATGATTAGATTTTCTTACAAATAAATCTTACCATATTTATAGGAACTCTTGAAAGGGATGTTAAATGATTCGTGAGAACTAAAATAAACATTGTCTTTTATATATGATTTCGTTGCATAAACTCCTAAATATCCGCTAGGTTCACATTTAGCAGACAAGCCAAAAATAAGACTAGTCATGCCATCCTGAGTCATGGTCTCCTACCATCCCGTGTTGCAAGAGTGAAGATGTTTGCATGGTGCAAAAATGATGTTATAGGTAGAGAAAATATTCTGTATTTCTCTATATATCTTACAACTTCATTACATCCAATTTATACTACACTAGAAGAAAAGAAAAGGAAAACATGATCTGCTAATTATGGAAATAAGTCACCCTACCAAATAACTCAAAATTACAATCTATAATTAATAAAATTTCCATTCTAGGTTTTCTACACTCCCCCTCAAGTTGAACCGTAGATGTTGATCACGTTCAACTTGCAGTTGAATCATCAAAGGTGTGTCGAGACAGCCCTTTAGTAAAGATATCCGCAGTTTGTTCTTTTATAGGGACATACGTCATACAAATAATCACATCGTCCACCTTTTCTTTGATAAAATGTCTGTCCACTTCTCCATGTTTAGTTATGTCATGTTGTACTGGGTTGAAAGAAATGTTAATGGCTGCTTTGTTATCATAATAATGTTTGATTGGAAATTCTATATCAACTTTCTGTTCTTCAAAAAGTTTCTTTAACCATAGACCTTTGCACATTCCTTGTGGAGTGGCTCTAAATTCAGTTTCAGCACTGCTTCTAGCCACAGCATTCTTTTTTTGCTTCTTGGAGGTACGTTTTAGACATCTGACGATTTTATATACCGCTTCTCGATGAGCCTCTTTGGGAGTGTGCATATGTTAACTAACCATATTTACTGCAAATGCAATGTCAAATCTGACGTGTGAGAGGTAGATTAAATTACCAACCAATTTTTGATATCTATCTGTTTCCACTGAGTTTCCTATATCTGTTGTTATTTTTCCTACCTCAATAGGTTTGTTGGTTTGTTTTCAACCTAACATACCAGTTTCACTCAAAATATCAAAAATGTGTTTTCATTGGGAAACACTAATACCCTTCTTTGATCTTACAATCTCCATTACCAAAAAATACCGCATTTGTCCCAGGTCTTTCATTTCAAATTCAGTAGCTAGACACTTCTTCAATCTTTCCATTTCGGCCATGTTGTCCCCGGTTAGGATTATATCATCAACATATACAATTATGATTGTTTTTGTCCCATTCAAGGTTGTTGAAAGGACATGGTGTGATCAGATTATCCTTGCTAGTATTTTTGAGTTTTCAAAACCTTTGCAAGTCTATCAAATCATGCCTTTGGTGACTGCTTGAGATCATACAAAGATTTCTTGAGTTTACACACTTGATCTTCATCATTCGTCTTGTTGAAGCCTAGAGGTATTATCATATAGACTTCTTTCAGTTCTCCATTCAGGAATGCATTCTTGATATGCAACTGTTGAAGGGGCTAGTCTAGATTCACTGCTAGGGACAAGAGAACACGAACTATATTTAATTTTGCCACCGGTGCAAATGATTCTGTGTAATCGATGCCATAGTTTTGTGTGTACCCTTTGGCAACTAGACGAGCTTTGTACCGTTCTATTGTTCCATCGGCCTTGGACCATTGAAGACCCATTTGTATCGTACAGGTCTACTCCCTTTCAGTAGGTTTACCATTTCCTAAGATTCATTTTTCTCTAGAGCTCTCATTTCCTCCATTATTGTCTCTCTCCATATTGGTGATTCCAAAGCCTCCTATGTATTTCTTGGAATTTCTGTTTTGTCAAGATTTGCCTTAAAAGCACGAAATCCAGTAGATAGAGCATTATAAAAAGTGAATTTTGAATTAGGATGGAAAGTACATGATCAAGTTTGTTTTCTGAGAGCAATAGGTATATCATTACCTGAAGATCTAGATTCAATGGAAGGGTTCTCATCAGGTCCAATCACCGATTCCGACTATCTTGGTGCCTCAAGTGTGGAAATCTCCTTATGCTTCGATTTAGGCTTTCTTGTATAAACTAGTATCTCCTTATCACTTTGTTTTTCAATATCTCCCCTTAAGTTCAAGTTTCATTCTGTATATGGCATATTAGAAGGTAGAGTGGCGAGTTTTGTATTTAGGTCATCAGGGGAAATTTCAAAATCTATGAATTCTCTTTTCAAGAACTGATCTTTACTCAAATTCTCCCCCGGAAGAGAAGGTTTTTGGAAGGTGTGTTCTCAAAGAATGTTACATCTAGGCTAACACCCTTTTTGTAGATGGTTCATAGCATCTGTAGTCTTTTTTAGTGGGTGAGTATCCAATGAACACACACTTGATTACACATGGTTCAAGTTTGTTACGATGATTGGAGTGAATGTTTACAAAGGCTACTAACAAACACTTTTAGAGGTAGATTTGAAGTAAGACGAGAAGTAGGGGAATGTTTTTGGAATCTTTGGATAGGTGTGTCGAAGGAGAAGGTACGACTTGGCATACGGTTGATGAGGTATGTAGATGTGAGAATTGTCTCACCCCAGAATGTTTTTGGCATGTTTGTAGTAAACATTAAGGCACGAGCAACTTTGAGTAGATGTCTATTTTTTCATTCAGCAATCCCATTTTATTGGGAGTGTTGACAGATGAACTTTGGTGAATTATTCCATGTCGTTTGCGGTAGTCTTGTAGATTGACATTGAAGTATTATGTGTCATTGTTAGTGCGTAGGACTTGAAGTTATGTTTGAAATTGGGTTTGAATCATTGAGTGAAAATTTATAAATATGGAGTGAACATCAGTTTTTTCTTTTAGTAGATATGCCAAACATACCCGAATGTGGTCGTCAATAAATGTGATAAACCATTTTATATGGCTGCAAATAGGATTTCAAGGTCCCATAAATTACCGTGAATCATGGCAAATGATTTGGATGATTTGTATGTGAAACTTGGGAAATTGAACGCTAATGTTTTGCAAATTTACAGCTTTCACATTGAAACTCACTTGTAGTTTTATTCAAGAAAATGGAGGGAAATACTTGTTTTAAGTATGGAAAACTAGGATGACCCATTCTATAGTGCCATAACAAAATTTCACTATCTCTAGAAGTAGATGCAGAATTACAACTTATAAGTTGACCTAGTTTACTCACATTAGCTTCTTCGAAGTAGTACAATCCTCACACTTTTTAGCACTGCCAATCGTCTTTCCCGATGAAAGGCCCTAAAAAATACAATAAGATGGGAAAAATTAGCAGAGCAATTGGAAGTTTTTGTTAATTGACTGATAGATAACAAGTTTCAGGATAAATTCGGAACATGAAGGACGGATTCTAGGGTTATGCTCTCAGATATTCGAATACTTCCTTTTCTTGCAATAGATGGGAGTGAGCCATCAGCAATTTTCACTTCAACATTTCCGCATAGGTTGAGTACGATAAGAATAGGTGGTACGAGTCCGTCGTGTGATCGGACGCACCGAAGTTAATAATCTATGGTGTTTAAACTTGTGACTTGTGCAAGGCTTTTAGAAAGTTACTTTTGTGGGCTAGCAAAGCAGAATGACTTATAGAGAAAGGCTGACCAGATGTTGGAAGACTAGAGAATGTCTGATAAAGTTACTCCATTTGTTTGGAATTGAATGCTCCGCTTGAAGTAGAATTTTTTTATCTCAGCTTGGTATCCCTGGCAATGTTTTGTCTTGGTTTCCAGTTGGTGGGCTTCCCGTGAATTTTCCAACATGTATCTTCTTTGTGTCCTGGCCTTCAACAATTCTCGCATCAAGGACGTTTGTCTTGGTGCTTTAGGCCTAGCCCATCAGATGACCCTTTAATTATGAGGGCTGAAATAGTAGGCTCATCAATTTTTAAAGATTCAGACGGCCCAAGCCCAATTTTAGAAGATGGTATATCTTGAGGCCCAACTCCAATTTTAAAACCCATTACAGCCGGCCCATATCTTTTAGACAACAGGGTCGACGTCTCCATTCCAGAAGGTCCACTTCAACATCATCTTCCTCCTGCTTTCCTCTCTTCTCACTTTGGAAAATACTTTGCGTGTCAAGGAGGCCATCGGCTGAGTATTCGCCCTACGAAGTCATCCAAGTCGCGACTAAGACCAGCTAAGAACTCGTAAACCCTTTCATTTTCAACTCGTTTTTTGTATATCACACTGTTGCCGAGACACTTCAATGTCTCTTTGAAATTCAAATCAAGTTCCTGCCAGAGAGAGGTCATCTCCATGGAATACTTCGTCACTTCCCTTTTTCACTGTTTTGCTTGCCACAAACAGGTCTTAATTTCAATATTTGAGAGCAGTGTTCCGAGTCGGAATACATCTCTTTTACTACATCCCATATGTCTTTTGTTGTAAGAAAAAATCGTTAGATTTTTCCAATAGTGGGTTTCATTGAATTTTCAAGCCAAGAGGTCATCATCGAGTTTTCTGAACTCCACTTCTTCAAGAGGACAGTTTCTATAGGTAGGTATCACCGATAATGTAACCAATCTTCCCTTTTCCGTCAATGATTAACTTTATTGACTGAGCCATTCTCGATAGTTCCTTCCATTTAGTTTTTCAACTGTGAGATGGAAGGAGTTATCGGGACTGTGTGGCTCCATTATTGAGGTGACCTTGGTTTCATCGTTTGATATTTCATTGGTCATCGACCCTTTACTGTTGATGAGGATATCCGCCATTGGTTGCACCCTGATACCATATAGACAGAAAATATTCCGTATTTCTCTATATATCTTACATCCAATTTATACTACACTAGAAGAAAGGAAAAGGAAAACACGATCTGCTAATTATGGAAATATATCACCCTACTAAATAACTCAAAAATTATAATCTATAATTAATACAATTTCCATTCTAGGTTTTCTAAAGATGTATAGGATTTTGTTGCCACATTACACTAGCCTCCGACTTACAGCAAAAGTCAAGATTTAGAATTTCATTCAGCATATTATTGTGGTGTCTTTGGTATTGGGTACAATACTTCCAACAGCTGTTTTGAATTTAATTTTGTGGAAATTTGATTGAAGAAATTTACATGCGTAAATAGTCTGCAGCTTTTATTTGTAGACCCAAATTGATGAATCAGCAAAGTATGTTTTAGGAGCTTGAAGGGAGCCATGCATTTGTCCAGTGCCTCCGCAGCACCAAAAAACAAAAATAAAAAAATAGAGAAGAAACATAGGGCTTTTGTATTATATTTGTGTCCAACTTCTATGTGCTGATTTCCATCTGTCAAATGATATGTGGAGTTGGTAGCATGTTTATTGGTCAAACATCCATGCTGCATTGTTGAGCTCTTATAGTATCTTCTTTTTTTATGTTGGATCTTTTGAATTGTTAATTACTATTTTATTTTAGTTAAAGTACTATAACAAGTAGTCAAGATTCTAAAATACACGTGTTATGGCATCCTAGATTCTAGTGCTGGTGCAGGAGAAAGTATATTTCAAAATGATCGGCCAGATAATGGAGGAAATGCTATTTATGATTTCCTTTACCCTAGCCAAGAGCTCCTTCCAGACGATAAAGAAATGACCATATTTGATCATTTAGAGGAGTTGCGGCAAAGAATCTTTGTCTCAGTTTTGGCTGTTGGAGCTGCTATCATGGGATGTTTTGCTTTTTCCAAGGAACTCATTATGTTTCTCGAATCTCCAGTTAGAGAACAAGGTGTTCGTTTTTTACAACTAGCTCCTGGCGAGTTTTTCTTTACAACTCTAAAGGTTAACCTTATGCTCTATCCTTAATCTCTCCTTTCCATTCTTATCCACCATTACCAAGTAATGTTGGATTATTCACATACTGGGAAGTCTCGTGAAGTTCTCGTCACACACTTATGAACTTAAAAATTTTCAAATAAAAGGCAATTTTTCAAACAAAAGGCAATATAGATCATCCTAATCTAGTAAAGCTATTCAATTCAAAAATATCATATAATTTAGTTTTTCCTTATAATATAACTATTATAAGCTGTAAAATAGTAATGTGTGATAAATGGGCATTTTTTACAAACAAATATCAGTTTCACACAACTAGGTTTGTTATATGAAAATTCAAGTTTATTTCCCATCAAGAATGGTCAATTATTTCTGAACTTAAAGTTTAAGACCCCACTCATTTATGAAGAATGGTTTTCTTACTATTATTTATCATAAGAATTAAAAAAAAATTAAAAAATTAAAAAAAAAAATTTGTATCATTATTTTCTTTTTCTACATAAATCAAGCTACGTACATAGGATTCTGGACACAGTTTAAAGTGTCCTCATTCTTTTCAGTCTTGATAAGGAACATTTACCGTATTTATCAATTGCCCCTCTTAAGCTGGTTGCAGCTTGTATTTTCTTCTTCATTGAAGGAGTTCAGGTGGTTAGGCTTCTGATCTGAACTATATAACTCATAGATGTAACACAAAAACTAGTAACGGTCTCACATTTGATGCAGGTATCAGGATATTGTGGCCTTCTATTAGGAAGTCCTGTGATTCTTTATGAAATCATAGCCTTTGTTGTTCCTGGTTTAACAAAGGCAGAGAGAAGATTCCTGGGGCCTATTGTCTTTGGGTCGTCAATACTTTTTTATGCTGGCATCGTATTTTCTTACTATGTTCTGACTCCTGCGGCCTTGACATTCTTTGTCAGTTATGCTGAAGGGGTAGTTGAATCATTGTGGTCCATTGATCAGTACTTTGAGTTTGTCCTTGTGCTCATGTTTAGCACTGGATTGTCTTTCCAGGTAAAGTTTATTCTTTACACGTTTTTCCTTTCCACATGGATAACGTGTGTATTCTATTTTTGAACTGATCTTCCCTTCTGTCAGAAAAACTAGTTTACTTATATTATCCATTTCCTCGTGGAAGAGGTTTGGGTAAAAGTAATAGGGTGATTGCGAATTAAAAACCACCCTCCCCCTGATTACTTCATTTTGGTTCGACAGTTACCTACTAAGCTCATTATAGTTTTTGAAACCATGCCCACCTTTAGTGTAAGTTTGTTCAGCCCATGTTACGTGATTACTTAGCCTCCTTTTTGTTTGAATAAAAATTATATTTTTATTAGATTTTGGTAAAAGTTGATAAAATATGTTGTTGAAAAGTTGATAAAAGTTGTGGTGTCTTATTAAACGCTTGGTCGAAAGTGATTTTTTTAAAAAATAAGTTTTAAAAAATGGGGGCCAAATAGGGACTTAATTCATTTTCGTTGAATGATTTTTCTAGTCAGTTATTAATTTTCTGCTGTTAGCTTTAGCATTGATGGCACTGTTGTTTGTAAGTCAGAATTGAGTGATTTATTTAATGCAAAATAAACTCACCAGACCTACCAAAAACAGAATGGAAAATTTGACAAAATACGCCAAGGAATGAAATGCAAAGGATCGATGCAAGAGTTGATCTCTTTGTCTTAAGTCGAATTTGTCCTACACATGTGCCTATGGATTATGGCAATCAACTCTCAAGATATAATGATTGCCTTCTCGTGAGTCTTCAAAAGACAAAAACAACGAACTAAAAGATTGCTTTTGTACTCCTCTTTGAATGAAAATAAAACAAAAGTTTTAATGCAGAATTTCGATTAGGAAATGATTTCTATATGTTGTGCTATGATTGCATGAGATAGGAGTGAATGAAAACAACACCAAAGGGTCTTATTTATAAATGTAAAAGGGTTGCAAACCGGAGACAATCTAAATTCAACTTGTTTCATGAAAAGTTGCACAGGTTCACTGCCGCTCGCCTACCGCTCGAGCAGCGAGGACACGTATCATATTTAGCTTGGCCACTGGTGTAAATGTTTCTGTGTAGTGTATGCCATAGGTTTGTGTGTATCTTTTCACCACCAGACGAGCTTTGTATCTTTCTATGGTCCCATCAGACTTATATTTCACATTAAAAATTCGTTTTCACCCCCACGGGTCTTTTTCTTTTTGATAGGTCCATCACATCTCAAGTTTCATTTTTATGAAGGGCTTGCATTTCTTCCATCATCGCATTTCTCCAATGTGGAATATCCAAGGCTTCCTGAACATTTCTTGGAATTGCTGTACTGTCAATGTTAAATGTAAAAGTGAGAAATTTTGTAGATAAAGCATTATATGAAATGAATTTTGAGATGGGATGAAGGGTGTGACCAATGTTGTTTTTTGAGTGCGATGGGTAGATCGATATCAAGTGATTTGGACTCATCAGGATCTGGAGCTATCATCGGTTCAAACTCTCTTGGTGCTTCAAGTATGAGGTTATCTTTTGGCTTTGGCCTCCTAGAGTAAACTAATATCTCCTTATCCTTTGGTTTTTCTGCATCTCCACCTGAGTGTTCTACATGTGGCATGTTGAGGTTTGATAGTGTGATAGGATTTGAATTTGTGTTGGAGGTATGTTTAGAAGGAGAGAGATCAAAATCTATGAACCGATCTTCACTCAAATTCTCCCCATGAACAGAGGGCTTCTGAAAATAGGAGAATTTTTCGAAGAATGTGACATCAACACTGACGAAGACCTTCTTTGTAGGTGGGTCATAGCATTTGTAGCCCTTTTGAGTAGTTGAATATCCAATGAATACACATTTAATCGCACGAGGGTCAAGTTTATTTCGATTGTGGGAATGAATATGGACAAATGCAGTACAACCAAATACTCTTAAGGGGTAGATCAGAATACAAACGCGAGGTAGGAAAGATTTTATGGAATTTGTCAAGAGGTGATTCAAAGTCAAGTGTGCGGCTAGGCATTCTGTTGATAAGATAGGTAGAGGTTAAAATGGCTCTCCCCAGTGGTTTTTTGGCATATTGGTAATGAATATTAAGGCACGAGCAACTTCAAGTAGATGTCTATTTTTTCGTTCAGCAATCCCATCTTATTGGAGAGTGTCGACCCACGAACTCTGGTGTACTATTCCATGTTTTTGTAAATAGTCACGTAAGATGGAATTGAAGAATTCAGTGCCATTATCTGTGCGAAGAATTTGAATTTGGGTTTGGAATTGTGTTTGAATCATCGAGTGAAAGTTGATAAATACTGAGCGGATATCAATTTTTTTCTCTTCGCATGTAAGTCCAACAGACTCGAATATAGTCATCAATGAATGTAACGAACTACTTTGTATGGGTATGATTAGGGATTCGTAAAGGTCCCCATAAATTGCTGTGAATTATAGAGAATGGTTTAGATGGTTTGTACACGGATTTTGAGAAAGTACTACGTTTGTGTTTTGCTAGTTCACAAATTTCACATTGAAAATCAAATGAAGTTTTATTCAAAAAGATAGACGGAAGTACACGTTTAAGATATTGAATATTGGGATGACCCATTCTGTAATGCCACAATAAGATTTCACTATCCCTAGAGACATATATAGAATCACAAATTGCAATTTGACTTGGCTTACTCATATTTGCCTCCTCAAAGTAGTAGAGACCCTCATACTTTTTAGTACTGTCAATCGTCGTCCCCGATGATAAGTCTCGAAAGACACAAGAAGAAGGGAAAAATTTAGCTGAGCAATTTGAGGTTCGTGTAACTGACTAATGGATAGCAAGTTACAAGTTAAATTTGGAACATGAAGTACTGAGTTTAGTGTTATAGATTCAGATGATTGGATACTTCCTTTTCCTACCACAATTGAGAGTGACCCATCCGCAATTTTGACCTTAATATTGTCGGCACAAGTTGCGTATGATGAGAAAAGTTGGTGGAGCTAGTCATGTGATCTGACACTCTTGAATCAATAATCCTAGGAATTTTGTATTTCGAGGACGTAGTCAAGGCACTTAAGTGATTACTTTTGTGAGCTAATGAGCTTGAAGGGCCGTGTGTGGAAAGCTGACCTCAAGTTTGAAGACTGGATAAAATTTTATAAAGTTGTTCCAATTGTTCAGGATTAAATGCTCGCCCTGCAGTGGAATTATCTTTGAAATTTTCATTATGATCAATTGCTACTTGATAGCCTCGATTCCTGGTATTTTGCCTTGGCTTCCAATCAGCAGGTTTCCCATGTAAATCCCAGCATGTATCTTCCTTGTGTCCTGGTATTCGGCAGTGTTCACATCAAGGCCTCTCCCTTTGTTGTTTTGATCCAATTGAAACCGACCCATTTAATCCAGGCCCACTAGAGTCACTTGGCCCATTATATGATTTTTCAGCCCATCCACCTTTATTAATAAAATTAGGCCCATTCAGCCCAGTCACTGCCAACGGCCCATTACTAGCTTTGCCATTTCTTTTGAACCCAAGTCCATTCCTTTTTAGCAGCAGCGCCGATTCTACTGCATTGTCATCTTCGCCGGTCTTCATCATAATTTTTCGGCGATTTTCCTCCTTCGGACTTCTGCAAAGACTTCTCTCGTAGTTGGCAGTGGTCGCCTGCTCTCTTCAATCTTTCCATTTCGGCCATGTTGTCCCCGGTTAGGATTATATCATCAACATATACAATTATGATTGTTTTTGTCCCATTCAAGGTTGTTGAAAGGACATGGTGTGATCAGATTATCCTTGCTAGTATTTTTGAGTTTTCAAAACCTTTGCAAGTCTATCAAATCATGCCTTTGGTGACTGCTTGAGATCATACAAAGATTTCTTGAGTTTACACACTTGATCTTCATCATTCGTCTTGTTGAAGCCTAGAGGTATTATCATATAGACTTCTTTCAGTTCTCCATTCAGGAATGCATTCTTGATATGCAACTGTTGAAGGGGCTAGTCTAGATTCACTGCTAGGGACAAGAGAACACGAACTATATTTAATTTTGCCACCGGTGCAAATGATTCTGTGTAATCGATGCCATAGTTTTGTGTGTACCCTTTGGCAACTAGACGAGCTTTGTACCGTTCTATTGTTCCATCGGCCTTGGACCATTGAAGACCCATTTGTATCGTACAGGTCTACTCCCTTTCAGTAGGTTTACCATTTCCTAAGATTCATTTTTCTCTAGAGCTCTCATTTCCTCCATTATTGTCTCTCTCCATATTGGTGATTCCAAAGCCTCCTATGTATTTCTTGGAATTTCTGTTTTGTCAAGATTTGCCTTAAAAGCACGAAATCCAGTAGATAGAGCATTATAAAAAGTGAATTTTGAATTAGGATGGAAAGTACATGATCAAGTTTGTTTTCTGAGAGCAATAGGTATATCATTACCTGAAGATCTAGATTCAATGGAAGGGTTCTCATCAGGTCCAATCACCGATTCCGACTATCTTGGTGCCTCAAGTGTGGAAATCTCCTTATGCTTCGATTTAGGCTTTCTTGTATAAACTAGTATCTCCTTATCACTTTGTTTTTCAATATCTCCCCTTAAGTTCAAGTTTCATTCTGTATATGGCATATTAGAAGGTAGAGTGGCGAGTTTTGTATTTAGGTCATCAGGGGAAATTTCAAAATCTATGAATTCTCTTTTCAAGAACTGATCTTTACTCAAATTCTCCCCCGGAAGAGAAGGTTTTTGGAAGGTGTGTTCTCAAAGAATGTTACATCTAGGCTAACACCCTTTTTGTAGATGGTTCATAGCATCTGTAGTCTTTTTTAGTGGGTGAGTATCCAATGAACACACACTTGATTACACATGGTTCAAGTTTGTTACGATGATTGGAGTGAATGTTTACAAAGGCTACTAACAAACACTTTTAGAGGTAGATTTGAAGTAAGACGAGAAGTAGGGGAATGTTTTTGGAATCTTTGGATAGGTGTGTCGAAGGAGAAGGTACGACTTGGCATACGGTTGATGAGGTATGTAGATGTGAGAATTGTCTCACCCCAGAATGTTTTTGGCATGTTTGTAGTAAACATTAAGGCACGAGCAACTTTGAGTAGATGTCTATTTTTTCATTCAGCAATCCCATTTTATTGGGAGTGTTGACAGATGAACTTTGGTGAATTATTCCATGTCGTTTGCGGTAGTCTTGTAGATTGACATTGAAGTATTATGTGTCATTGTTAGTGCGTAGGACTTGAAGTTATGTTTGAAATTGGGTTTGAATCATTGAGTGAAAATTTATAAATATGGAGTGAACATCAGTTTTTTCTTTTAGTAGATATGCCAAACATACCCGAATGTGGTCGTCAATAAATGTGATAAACCATTTTATATGGCTGCAAATAGGATTTCAAGGTCCCATAAATTACCGTGAATCATGGCAAATGATTTGGATGATTTGTATGTGAAACTTGGGAAATTGAACGCTAATGTTTTGCAAATTTACAGCTTTCACATTGAAACTCACTTGTAGTTTTATTCAAGAAAATGGAGGGAAATACTTGTTTTAAGTATGGAAAACTAGGATGACCCATTCTATAGTGCCATAACAAAATTTCACTATCTCTAGAAGTAGATGCAGAATTACAACTTATAAGTTGACCTAGTTTACTCACATTAGCTTCTTCGAAGTAGTACAATCCTCACACTCTTTAGCACTGCCAATCGTCTTTCCCGATGAAAGGCCCTAAAAAACACAATAAGATGGGAAAAATTAGCAGAGCAATTGGAAGTTTTTGTTAATTGACTGATAGATAACAAGTTTCAGGATAAATTCAGAACATGAAGGACGGATTCTAGGGTTATGCTCTCAGATATTCGAATACTTCCTTTTCTTGCAATAGATGGGAGTGAGCCATCAGCAATTTTCACTTCAACATTTCCGCATAGGTTGAGTACGATAAGAATAGGTGGTACGAGTCCGTCGTGTGATCGGACGCACCGAAGTTAATAATCTATGGTGTTTAAACTTGTGACTTGTGCAAGGCTTTTAGAAAGTTACTTTTGTGGGCTAGCAAAGCAGAATGACTTATAGAGAAAGGCTGACCAGATGTTGGAAGACTAGAGAATGTCTGATAAAGTTACTCCATTTGTTTGGAATTGAATGCTCCGCTTGAAGTAGAATTTTTTTATCTCAGCTTGGTATCCCTGGCAATGTTTTGTCTTGGTTTCCAGTTGGTGGGCTTCCCGTGAATTTTCCAACATGTATCTTCTTTGTGTCCTGGCCTTCAACAATTCTCGCATCAAGGACGTTTGTCTTGGTGCTTTAGGCCTAGCCCATCAGATGACCCTTTAATTATGAGGGCTGAAATAGTAGGCTCATCAATTTTTAAAGATTCAGACGGCCCAAGCCCAATTTTAGAAGATGGTATATCTTGAGGCCCAACTCCAATTTTAAAACCCATTACAGCCGGCCCATATCTTTTAGACAACAGGGTCGACGTCTCCATTCCAGAAGGTCCACTTCAACATCGTCTTCCTCCTGCTTTCCTCTCTTCTCACTTTGGAAAATACTTTGCGTGTCGAGGAGGCCATCGGCTGAGTATTCGCCCTACGAAGTCATCCAAGTCGCGACTAAGACCAGCTAAGAACTCGTAAACCCTTTCAT